GAGGAATAAGTCCAGTTATCACCCGAAGACGATTGTGGATACTAACAATCGAAACGTTGTGACGTAACTTGGTTTGGAATCTTTTAATTTTCATTTATTTTTTAATATTTTTTAATTCTCAGCTTTTATTAATATTTCAATTTTTTATTATTTTGGTTGTTGCTTGTATGTTATTTCTTTGCAATTACAGTTTTTTGTTTAATTTAATTGTTATTTTCGGATAATCTTTTTTAATTTTTTTCAGAGATTTCAAATCAATTTATATTATATTCGACAATGGAAGTCCGAACTGATGAAATACACCACGAAACATTGTCAACCACCTTCAACAAACATCTAGCCAACTTAATGGGCCGACAACGGAGAAACGAAAATATATCAGCTTTCAAACTATGTATCTATATGCCTCTCAGCTAAGCTAAATATGGGTTTTCCATTGAACTACGTCGTTTGTGGACCCGATTGATGAGAACGACAAAAACTTAGCGACCATCTTAACTAAGGCGAGGCCATAGACAAATTAATCATAAGTTTGGCAAATCAAGATCAACTCAGAGAAAAAATAACCTCTTTCGATTGATTGAGGGAGGTTACAAAAATTTATGACAGAATAACCACGAATTCTTTGAGGTTTGTTTAAAACAGTCGTCGCGGGAGAATCAAGCAGAGGATTTCGTTGGGGGAGCGGAGTCAAGTGCTCCGAACAAGGGAGTTTAATACGGAAACCGGGCGAGTCTAATAGTGTTACAATTAAAGTAAAATTTGCTTCGAAATTTTTTTGGATAACCTGTAGGATCAGCTTGTATGAGCTGTAAAGGTGACGGTGAAATAACTGTACATGTGTGATAACCGTTATTTGAATTTTGGTAAGGAGTTAGCCAAAAATCAATTCATAGATCGGTAGCGGTCCGAAAGTGTCGGACAAGGTACGTCACTCTTGTATACGGTAGGAATTACGGCTAAGGCACGTAATTTGAGTTTTTTTTGGAATTGTCTCAACATCCAAAATTTGATGTGGAGAAATCCGCGTCTGGTGACAGCAGTTGCCAAATTATATCAACAAAACAATACGGCATAGTCGTCGGTCAATAAAGAGTATTATCTTGAACTTACGCGCCGCTTGCGAGAAGAATTACGATATGGTTTTTTCGCATCACGATAATGCACCTGGTCATTCGTAATTTTTGGCCAAAAATAACACCGTAATTATGCCTCAGCCACCGTATTCACCAGATTTGCCCCCTGTGTCCAAGATTGTGTTATATCTGAGGAGGACTACTTCAAAGGGTACAAAATGGAAATTGATGAATTGATAAATGTTTTTTGAAATTCATCTTGTTTTTGAGCAGATAGCCTACACATAATTGCTAAAGGACTTTTGGTGCCAACAACATTACCTCTCCAAGAAGATTCTAGAAATTTTGGTGCTGGGGAATTTTTTCCGTCAGTTTAATTTTATTGCTAAATTCTACTAGGTACTACATATAAAATACAATATTTTCATTTTTCTGATTGACTTGGCCGTTACTTGATGAAGATCAATAGTAATTGCACAAACTACACCTAACGTTTTTATCTTCACAAACTTCATTATAAAAAAATATAACATGTTTTGCTATCATCACAGTTTCTTTTTCGTAGTGAGTATTAATAGTTATTCACTACGAAAAAGCTACTGTGATAGCAAAACATGCCATGATATTTTTTTGAAAATAAAGTTGTGAAGGTCAAATCGTTAGGTGTAGTTTGTGAAATCATTATTCTTATTATCTAGAAACTTCACCCACCTGTTGTCCTTGTTGTTGTTGCTGCTGTCTAGGCATTTGTTGTCTAATATGTGCTGGCATTACTGCGGAATGTGGTTGTTGTCTCGACTTCACAGATCCTCCTCTCAAAACGCTGAGTGGAATCGGAGTAGGAACGCTATCAGCAGATTGGCTGTCTCTAGCTTTCGTACGAACCGTCACGTGTTTAGGATTCAACCCCAGAAGTTTGCTTATATCAATCAAAGCGTGATCTCCGGTGGGACTATCCACATCTGTTACTTTTTTACCATCTGCAAATACGGCGTAACCAGTTATAGAAGAACCTGGGTGATGCGGGGTGAGTATAGGATGCCAAGTAACTAGAAGCGTTCCATCCTGTGGACCTGAAATATGTATTTCATTTCATTCACTGGATATGAAACCTCCAAACAGAATATATGCTCAAATAGGAAAGTTAACATTTGTTTAGGTGATAAATTATCAGTAAAAAACATGAATTTCATTAGTTCGGACTTCCATTGTCTAATATCTAATATGATATAAAATGATTTGAAATATCTAAAAGAACCAATGCGATTGAAATTGAAAAAAGGTGTTGCTGGAAATAACAATTTATTGAACAAAAAAACCCTGAAATGAAATCACAGTGAAATAAAATACAAGCAAATACAATAAAATACAGTCACCACTCGAAGACGATTGTGGATGCTAACAATCGGAATGTCGTGAAGTAACTTGGCTTGAAACCTCTTAACTTTTATTTTCTCTGTTTTTCGTTCAATTATTCAATTTTCAATTTTGTGCTTCTATTTTATTTGTTGTTTCTTATATAAGTATCCAAGTCTACATATCAAAAAGTGCTTTATTACTGAATAGAGAATTGAAAACTTGAAAACCCTAAACGGTGTATTTTTTTTTGAGAAAGTGTGTTTCTCCGATGTGTATGCATATGCCATGATGTTGATTCTCATTTTTCAGACCCTCAATGTATATTCAATCTTCTATTTTGTTTGTTCACTTTCGGTTTTGAACCGAAATACCATTTGGAACTGCTTCTATTCTTTGTTTCTTTCATAAATTTGCAAGATCTAAAAATTTCGAGATATCAGTAAGTCAAACCAGATTTTTTGTCATAAAACAAAGAAAATTGTATTTATCTCGAATTTTTATAACCCTTGTAATTATTTTAGGATGTTTTTTTATTAATGAATTAAAAACGAGAACATTTCCTGAAAGGTGGAAAGAGGCTAGAGTTTGCCCGATATTCAAAAATGGCGATAAAGATAAAATCGAAAACTACAGAGGTATTTCATTGCTCTGTAACTTTGCAAAAGTTTTTGAAATCATTTTGTATAATCGTATATATTCCTGTATCCGAAATATGATATCTCAAAATCAGCATGGATTTGTCAATAATCGCTCAACAGTGTCAAATCTGATATTTATCACTCAATATATCGCAGAGGCGCTAGATGACCATAGTCAAGTAGATGTCATCTATACAGATTTTGCAAAAGCATTCAACAGAGTGGATCACACCATTCTATTGAATAAATTGAGTGCAATTGGCTTTACTGAAAATGCAAGAGATTTTATAGAATCTTATTTATCAAACAGAAAGCAGTATGATTCATATAACGGATTCAATTCCGACATTTACCTAGCATCATCTGGCGTTCCTCAAGGATCAAATTTGGGACCACTTCTATTTTTATTATTTGTGAATGATCTATGTAACAATTTAATATGTGAAAAGTTGTGCTTTGCTGATGATTTGAATATTTTTTCTATTGTGAATGATACGAATGACTGCTTAAATCTGCAGAAACAACTGGATTATATTCAAAATTGGTGCAATATTAACAAGTTATGTCTTAACGTTAGAAAATGTAAAGTTCTGAGTTATACTAGAAAAATTACATCAATACATTATTCTTACAAGGTTGAGAATACTCAACTGGAACGATATACCAAAATCAAGGATTTAGGTGTTATTTTTGACAAAGAGTTGAATTTCATAGAAAACACAACCTTAAAAGTCTCCCAAGCACTGAATACATACGGTTTCATAATGAGAAATTGTAGAAATTTCACCAACATCAAAGCATTGAAACTACTGTATTTTTCTAATGTACGATCAAAACTTGAATATGCTAGTATTGTCTGGTCCCCTTTTTACGAGTGTCATAAAGCAGCCATTGAGGGCGTTCAAAAAAGATTTTTGAAATTTCTCATCTTCAAAATAGATGGTACATATCCTGAAAGGGGAACAAACAATGAGGAATTATGCATGAGGGTCAATATTGACAGCTTAGAGTGCAGAAGAAATTGTGCATTTGTTATATTTTTGTATAAAATCTTGAATGGCCTTATTGACTCTCTCTGTCTGCTCAGCCTGATTAATATCAATGTTCCTTCATATTTTTCTCGAAATCATGCAACTTTCAAACTTCCAAGAATAAGAACAAATATGCAATTGAAATCTCCACTTTATATAATGTGTAGTGAATTCAATAAAATTAGCAATCGAATTGACATTCATTCGTGTTCCATCAAGGAACTCATCTCGGTGATGAAAAATTAAACAGCATTGTTATATCGATATTTCGTTAATTTTTGATATGTTATTTTAATTATTGTTTAATCTACTAAATGTTATTATCAATTTACTCATACACACCATTTTATGTTTTGTTATTCTTTAATATTGTCCTGTAAATGGGAAACTGTTGGACAATAAAGGCTATTATTATTATTATTATTATTATGAATGAGTTTATGATACAAAATAATTACAGTGTTATTATAAATTGTTCTTGTAGAATGAGGCTCATCAACAACATATTTACCTGGTTCCACTAAGATATCGCTCGGAGGATCAGGAAGACCCTTTGGCAACGTTCTAAAATCTGTATGAGCAGCTGCTGGCATTGGCAGTTCCTCAGCTAAGTTAGCGACGTTCTGAGCAGCTCTATGATGTTTCGCCCTCACTGTTACCCTATACTGAGTATTGGGTGCCAGACCAGTTATCGTATGTCTATACACTCCTGGTTTGACGGTTCTGACTTCAACATTGTTCACACAAACAACGTGCTGATGGTTAGAATTGGCAGGCAACCAACTCATTACAGCTGATGTTGATGTAATATTCGATGCACGCACCGCACTGGGTCCTAAAGAGTGCGTATCTCTACCGATTATCATGGTGCAAGCTGCATCTCTAGATGTTCTACGATTTGCAGTAACAGATCTCACGCTTATACGATGGGGCTAAAATCAATTCAAAGCGTGATCTCCGGTGGGACTATCCACATCTGTTACTTTTTTACCATCTGCAAATACGGCGTAACCGGTTATAGAAGAACCTGGGTGATGCGGGGTGAGTATAGGATGCCAAGTAACTAGAAGCGTTCCATCCTGTGGACCTGAAATATGTATTTCATTTCATTCACTGGATATGAAACCTCCAAACAGAATATATGCTCAAATAGGAAAGTTAACATTTGTTTAGGTGATAAATTATCAGTAAAAAACATGAATTTCATTAGTTCGGACTTCCATTGTCTAATATCTAATATGATATAAAATGATTTGAAATCTCTAAAAGAACCAATGCAATTGAAATTAAAAAAAGGTGTTGCTGGAAATAACAATTTATTGAACAAAAAAACCCTGAAATGAAATCACAGTGAAATAAAATACAAGCAAATACAATAAAATACAGTCACCACTCGAAGACGATTGTGGATGCTAACAATCGGAATGTCGTGAAGTAACTTGGCTTGAAACCTCTTAACTTTTATTTTCTCTGTTTTTCGTTCAATTATTCAATTTTCAATTTTGTGCTTCTATTTTATTTGTTGTTTCTTATATAAGTATCCAAGTCTACATATCAAAAAGTGCTTTATTACTGAATAGAGAATTGAAAACTTGAAAACCCTAAACGGTGTATTTTTTTTGAGAAAGTGTGTTTCTCCGATGTGTATGCATATGCCATGATGTTGATTCTCATTTTTCAGACCCTCAATGTATATTCAATCTTCTATTTTGTTTGTTCACTTTCGGTTTTGAACCGAAATACCATTTGGAACTGCTTCTATTCTTTGTTTCTTTCATAAATTTGCAAGATCTAAAAATTTCGAGATATCAGTAAGTCAAACCAGATTTTTTGTCATAAAACAAAGAAAATTGTATTTATCTCGAATTTTTATAACCCTTGTAATTATTTTAGGATGTTTTTTTATTAATAATTAAAAACGAGAACATTTCCTGAAAGGTGGAAAGAGGCTAGAGTTTGCCCGATATTCAAAAATGGCGATAAAGATAAAATCGAAAACTACAGAGGTATTTCATTGCTCTGTAACTTTGCAAAAGTTTTTGAAATCATTTTGTATAATCGTATATATTCCTGTATCCGAAATATGATATCTCAAAATCAGCATGGATTTGTCAATAATCGCTCAACAGTGTCAAATCTGATATTTATCACTCAATATATCGCAGAGGCGCTAGATGACCATAGTCAAGTAGATGTCATCTATACAGATTTTGCAAAAGCATTCAACAGAGTGGATCACACCATTCTATTGAATAAATTGAGTGCAATTGGCTTTACTGAAAATGCAAGAGATTTTATAGAATCTTATTTATCAAACAGAAAGCAGTATGATTCATATAACGGATTCAATTCCGACATTTACCTAGCATCATCTGGCGTTCCTCAAGGATCAAATTTGGGACCACTTCTATTTTTATTATTTGTGAATGATCTATGTAACAATTTAATATGTGAAAAGTTGTGCTTTGCTGATGATTTGAATATTTTTTCTATTGTGAATGATACGAATGACTGCTTAAATCTGCAGAAACAACTGGATTATATTCAAAATTGGTGCAATATTAACAAGTTATGTCTTAACGTTAGAAAATGTAAAGTTCTGAGTTATACTAGAAAAATTACATCAATACATTATTCTTACAAGGTTGAGAATACTCAACTGGAACGATATACCAAAATCAAGGATTTAGGTGTTATTTTTGACAAAGAGTTGAATTTCATAGAAAACACAACCTTAAAAGTCTCCCAAGCACTGAATACATACGGTTTCATAATGAGAAATTGTAGAAATTTCACCAACATCAAAGCATTGAAACTACTGTATTTTTCTAATGTACGATCAAAACTTGAATATGCTAGTATTGTCTGGTCCCCTTTTTACGAGTGTCATAAAGCAGCCATTGAGGGCGTTCAAAAAAGATTTTTGAAATTTCTCATCTTCAAAATAGATGGTACATATCCTGAAAGGGGAACAAACAATGAGGAATTATGCATGAGGGTCAATATTGACAGCTTAGAGTGCAGAAGAAATTGTGCATTTGTTATATTTTTGTATAAAATCTTGAATGGCCTTATTGACTCTCTCTGTCTGCTCAGCCTGATTAATATCAATGTTCCTTCATATTTTTCTCGAAATCATGCAACTTTCAAACTTCCAAGAATAAGAACAAATATGCAATTGAAATCTCCACTTTATATAATGTGTAGTGAATTCAATAAAATTAGCAATCGAATTGACATTCATTCGTGTTCCATCAAGGAACTCATCTCGGTGATGAAAAATTAAACAGCATTGTTATATCGATATTTCGTTAATTTTTGATATGTTATTTTAATTATTGTTTAATCTACTAAATGTTATTATCAATTTACTCATACACACCATTTTATGTTTTGTTATTCTTTAATATTGTCCTGTAAATGGGAAACTGTTGGACAATAAAGGCTATTATTATTATTATTATTATTATGAATGAGTTTATGATACAAAATAATTACAGTGTTATTATAAATTGTTCTTGTAGAATGAGGCTCATCAACAACATATTTACCTGGTTCCACTAAGATATCGCTCGGAGGATCAGGAAGACCCTTTGGCAACGTTCTAAAATCTGTATGAGCAGCTGCTGGCATTGGCAGTTCCTCAGCTAAGTTAGCGACGTTCTGAGCAGCTCTATGATGTTTCGCCCTCACTGTTACCCTATACTGAGTATTGGGTGCCAGACCAGTTATCGTATGTCTATACACTCCTGGTTTGACGGTTCTGACTTCAACATTGTTCACACAAACAACGTGCTGATGGTTAGAATTGGCAGGCAACCAACTCATTACAGCTGATGTTGATGTAATATTCGATGCACGCACCGCACTGGGTCCTAAAGAGTGCGTATCTCTACCGATTATCATGGTGCAAGCTGCATCTCTAGATGTTCTACGATTTGCAGTAACAGATCTCACGCTTATACGATGGGGCTAAAATCAATAAAGTATTCATAACAATGCCTTTTACATTATATGGGTTCAGTAAACAACGGGTATGTAGGATGAGAAATTGAGGGATGGTTAGGATTTTGAAATGGAACAAGAGAAAATCTAAAAAGGTTTATCGATATTTACAACTGTGATAATGAGGAATTCTCCATGAATGTCATATAACCTATCGAAAAACTCTCATATTCATATTCTACTGGTATTTGAATATTTTTCCTACAGGGATAGTTTGAAGCAAATATAACTTTTTTGTTTGAACATAGCTAAATAAATTTCAAATCTCCGTTCATATTTACTTCATCAACAAGGGCGATATATAAGTTTCTCAAATGGCTATTAATGATGGCATGTTGGTGACATCGCAGTAGCAGCCAGTCTTTATTTAGATTCCTGATACTTTATATCTATATCATATTTAAAACGGTTGTATAACGCTTATTTTGGAAATAGATGTTTTGGCAGAACAAAAGTAACAATGTGATATCTCAGAATAATGGAACAAATTATAGACAAAATACCATGTCTTCAAACAAAGTACCATAGTTTTCTTGAAAATTCATCAACACTTGGTCAATGTAAGTTTTTCTGGCTCAGTGTAATGAGATTAGATATTGCTGCTCAGTTTACTATGCTTTCATTAGTTATCAAAATAATGTGTAGTCGACTGGTACTAATCAAGTACTGGTCTATAAAACCTAACGCCAGACTATTCAGCAATCGAAATTTTGAAGAGGATTATCCGAATGAGGCCAAGAGAATATGTTCTTAACTCTACTTTCTTTCCAGTGCTGAATACAAAACATACTTGTTTTGTCTCCAAATTATGCAAAAGTCGAAAAAAGAAGAATCAAATGATAGAAAACATAAAATGTGGTATGATGGAAACCTAACTGAGGAGAATAGAGGCAATCAGATGGAAAGACAGTTATTATTCAGGACCGAGTTGAAATCGTCAATATCTCCAACTTCTTGCTAGAATATGATCTTTGGTGTAATATGAAGAATGTGGGGGTGTTCAAGAAGAGCCAAGAATCAGGTCGAGAAATATCGAGAGGACATCATCCAACTATCTGGAAGATTATCAATTTCGGTTTATATTTTCTGTCGAATATACGTAGCGTGTTGAAGAAGTATTATACCAACGAAAAAAATAATATGTGATAAGGAATTAAAGAACAGTTAGATAATTATTTCATGTCATTCTTACCCTGTTGCTATCCACTCCTTCCACTAATGCTCTTGTTCTTTCCGTAGCTTTAATAGTGGCCTTCAATACACCATCAACGTAAACGTGGTAACTTTCTATTTGATTTCCTGGACCAATTCCATCTGGCGCCGTCCACGAAATAAGAACACTCTTGTTGAGCTGCCTCTCCAAAGTCAGTTGCCTGGGGGCCGGCACTAACACCGAGAATAAAAGGTCAGCTAGAGGTCAAATTTGGGTCAGTTCGAGGCTATAAGTACAAAAGAATACCCAAAGTACGAGAAGTCGTTTTATGTTTAGTCAGCTCCTGATAATAAAATATCAAGAGAAAGTTTTTTACATTTAAACCTTTTTTTTAGAAGAACGAGACGTATTTAACTCAAAATTGTAATAAATTGCAAAAATAGTATTGGATATTCTTATCATCAATACCGTTCAATAATACGTTATAGTTGGAAAATTGTTTTAAGGTAGAGATTCGATTGATTCAACATTGAAGAGATTTATCCTTTGCGACTATTATTATTATGATAAAAAAACTGAGAGTTGAAAGAACCCACAAAACTAATTAATACACGTTTTTCCACGCAATATTGCATATGACTATTATTATCATTTTTTAATTGATTATATCCGACAGGTGTCAGTGCAGGATTCTTCCTGAAGTTATTCCTGCATATGCTGTTAGCAATACAACTACCGGAATCGATTTTCAATCATCGGAACACACTTGCAGACCGGTTTCGGGCTGTTTGGCCACTCGTCAGTGCAAAATAGTGTATATTATCAATATGTTTGCCAACGCTCCACTTGCCCGTGAACGAGATAATCAACCACATATTCGAGATCTTTCCAATTCCTCGTATAAGGAATATGCCCACAAAATTAGTGGGCATACTTGGAGACTGGCTGTAAATAAAATTATCTAAGGGAACAATTCGTTCAGGCCAATCTAAAATTGGTTTTTCTTCTTGATTTCATTAGTATGGCGTCTAAAAAAACTGCCTAGAACTCTAATATCATAACAGATATGCTTAGGCTTATAAGGATTCAAAAAAACGACACAGCAGTGGAAGTGGACGTCATAGACGACTATGGGAAGGTGAATTCTGACAACTACAGATATCTTAGAGGTCAGAAATATATGGCAGGCAATTGATCTAGGCAGAAAACAAATCTATATCTTCCTGTGAATAATAATAGTTCAGACGACGTTATGGACGTTGAAACAAATTCATATAAAATACGATACCTCGCATGGGTTATTTCTTAAAGATCTCATGAACACTCCAAAGAAGGTCGAGGATCCAAACATGAATATTTGACGAGAAGAAATGAATTAAATACCTATCGAGAAATCTAGGAGAGGATCTGAACATGAGCCAATCAAAATATAAACTAGTGTAAGAGGAAAGAAGAAAGAAGTATGCCTAACGCAGGAAATGAATAAGATAGCAAAGAAAAAACAACAACAGAGAAAGAACTTCATCTGTTCCTACTCTGTCCCATTCCTCGAATCCTGACAGAAAACTAATCAAAATCGCACACCAATATGTCAATTCAAAATCTTTCGGAATTGAATGATAGTTTTTGCATCCACACTAGACTGGATGTTGAATTTTACTCGGTTTAAAATTTTTCCAGTTCAGTTTCCTCTCTTAGAAATGGTAGCCATGTAAGTTCGAAAATGGGTAGATAAGTATGATGCCATATATTTTCATTTCCGTTCAACATTATGCAAGCTGTTTCTTTCAGTTTTTTTATATTTTCGTTAGATTGCCATCATCTGGCGTTAACCCAATTTAATGTGTATTTTTTTTTCACCGTAGTGTGCGCTGGTCAGGCCCTATCCCCCGAAGCCCCGATACATTCGGGAGGGCGCGCCAGCATAATCAACCAATGACCACTCCCCACACAGTGGGGTAAGTGATCATTGGGTCCGAGAATCATGTGCCCTGAGCAAGCGCAGTGAGCCAAGAATGACAGCCTTCTGCATCTGTGCGGCTAAGATTTCTGCCTTAGTGC